TGCATGCACCAAAAGTCTGTTGACTTCTAATGGAGGCCACAAAAAATTGGCTCGTGCGTTCTCAAATTTTTCTTGAGCCAATTAAAGAACATACCCTAAGCTTCAAAACATGCTAAGGTTCGAAAAAAATTATGGAGAGATGAGCAAGATATGAGGCTTAGGATTTTTGGGCAACTCAAGTTATCTTGCCCAAGACTGCATGCACGCTGGCTTGGCCAGATGCCTTCGAATTTTCGGTTTTGACACCAAACTTCCCCAAATCACAACTTCTTCTATTTTAAACCAAATTGAGTGATTCCTAGTTTAATGAGAAGCTTTCATAGCCCTCTTTAAAATGCACGAGGCACATTTTTGAATTATGCCTTGAATCAACAATTACAGACATGTCACCAACCATTTAATGAATTGCCTAGGCCAAATGCCTTGCCTGGCCTGGCCAAATGCCCCAGATGCCTCAAAAAATGCCCAACTTGCCCTAAACATCAAAGGCTTATAACTTTTGATTTTGAGTGAAAAGTGTGTTTTTGGTCCCCTGTGGGACCTTATAGATTTTTTCCCCCTCTTCAATTGGCAAAAAGAACCACCAAACTCCCCTGAAATATGAGAAAGTTATGCCCTTGCAAAGTCAGGCCAAAATCAAGAATACTTAGTGAAATTTTCAATCACCAAGATAACTTCAAATCCAAGTAACCTCTCAAACTTGCAATTCTCATCAAAATAAATCATCAATGATCATCCGACATGAAAATACATGTCAAATGCTTCATGTTGACCAAAAGTTCACTTGGTCAACTTTGACTTTCTTGACTTTTGAGTAAAATGACTGTTTTGCCCCTTTGATTCAATTGAACCACTTCTCTTCAAAATTGGTGAACACAACTTAAAAAATATGATATTCCAAACACATAGAGGCTATGGAAAGAGTTTCCACTCAAAGTTCCAAAGAATCCCTGATTAAAACTCAAACCCTAGTTTTGCACTCTACATTAGGAGATAGCTAATCAAGCTTCAAAACCCTAATTCCACTGGGCATCATGAGAGACTCCTTAAACAAAATTTATTCCATGATAATAAGAGAATGATGCTTCAATAATTGGCTCATCTAGACCCCAATTACTCAAATTTGGGCAAAACCCTAATTTTGACTGATGAATCCAAAGGATGTGACTCTCCTTATAAACAACACAATACTCAATCTTCTGATGATCCAATGAGGTGGATAAGATATCTTGAGATATATGATACCTTTGGGCTTGAAGGATCCATAGGTTTATATAATAAGGCCCTCCTTGACCAACTTGTCAATACAATCAATCTTCCAAAGCTTTAGGAAGACTTGATAACAAAAATACTTTGATCCCATCACAATGTATGAATGCAATGCAATATGATGTTTATGATGAAACATAAGCCTAAATCAAGAGGCTAAATTTTGGGGTGCAACAATAATGAAATATATGTAATCCATTGCATCAGTCTCCATGTAGAAATGTGTTATCAAACTTTGTTTTATTCATTCCCTAGGCTGCGATGAATAGACAAAATCAAATCAAAACTTACTAAATTAAGTCTCAAAGCATTAGTAAGTCAAATTTTCAAAACATGTATCATTTACCTCCTAGATCCTGGTAAATATGCAAAAATCTATAATCTCTTAGATACTGACGAATTATCCGCGTCATCGTGTCTAAGTTAAATCAAAACCTTGGTTCAAACGTTGGTAAGATGATACATCATCATCTATGCGTACTCTTCATACCCATGGGAACGATGTACAATGTATCATAATCTTTCGGACAAATTTTGGGTCTTCCAATATTTAATATAGTTCTGATCAGAGCATGCGAGACTTGTGTATTCTCGCACTATTAAATTGAAAGTTAATTAAAAAGGGGCATTTGTCATACCCCAAATTTTCTCTACTAGGTTTCTATCTCTTATTAATTTCCAGAATTATCATTTGCAGGGGGTTTATGTTTATAAAAGGGGTGTTTCATCCTAATAGAGAATTAATGGGTTTATCTAAATCAGAAAAGCCCATGTAAAATTTTAAGTCCATATAAGCCTCACTTGATAAAATGGGTGCATCTTAGGTTAGGGGCTTAACATCCAATTTGCAAAGCCCATTGCGTTTTTGGAGTAAGGTTTTGTTTCCAGCCCATTGCAAATCTTGAAGATTCTACATCAATAAGAATTTTTTGGCCTTTCCAAATCAGAAAAGCCCATGTAAAATATTAAGCCCATTAAAAGCTTCATTTAAAGGGTGCATCTTAGGTTTGGGGGGGGGGGGTTAACATTCAATTTTCTAAGCCCACTTCACTTTGGGTTAAGGTTTCTTTTGTTATTTACTTTCGTCCAGTTCAAAATCTGGAAGGGTTTATACTATCAGAAATGCTTGGACTTTTCTAAATCAGAAAGGCCCGTGTTGAATTGAGTGTCCATTCACTCTCTCTTGCAAGGGAGTGTGTTAGTAAAATTGGAAGCCCATTTATGAATAAATAGAAAATGAGGTATACCGATTGCAAGAAGGGTATTTGTTAAGCCCATTTATGAAAAAATAGAATCGGGGTATGCTGTTAACTTAAGGGGTTTATGGATTAATTGGATCGGCCCACTAAAACGATGAAGCTTTTTTTAAATAGAAGAATGGGATATTTTTTAAGAGGCCCATATGAAACAACCAGATGAAAATAATCAAACAATGAAGTCGCCATCAAACGTCTTTTATCCCACATGAAGGGAAAGGTAAACATCGAGAAAACATGAGAAGGGAGAAGTCACGGTCTTGCGACTGAGAGATCAGGTAAGGGATTATGTTATACAAATGGAAGGTATTAGTACCCCACGCTCGTAGTACTCTATGGTATCCACTCTTGTTATCTATCTTATGGGTGTTTCTAATCTATGTCTACTGCTTACTACTGAGGAAGAATACATGCAAAAGAAATTCGGGGAAAAGAATAAACTATTTTTGAATTTTGCTCGACTGGGCCCCGCGACCTGTTGCCTAGGTATCCCTTTCGAGGAATTAGAGCACCGTAGTTCGGCTCACATGTTTTGTTTGTTTTGTATTTTTTTATGGGTGAAGAACCCTTGTGAAAACGGTCTTGAGTTACGCCCTCGAGGCAAGATGTTACATTTGATTGGTTTGTGTTTTGTTACCTTGAAAAATGGTTTAAGTGTGATTAGCATGTTTTATAATTTGATAAGAAAAAGAAAGTTTTAGTTTTAAATGCAAATGCAAAAGGGGAAGAAAAGAGTCTACGGGAGACTAGCCTATTTCTAACATAATGTTATCATACAATGGTGGTCCTAAGGTTAGGATTAACATAAGGGAAACGTCTACCTAATGTTAGCATGGGTGGCTTTCATATCCTAATATCTAGCTCGAAAGCTACCCTAATCGAGCGATGATAATAGAAGCATACAAATTCCTATTCTAAGGGAACATGGTATGTACAAGGATGAAAAAAACAAGCAAGCTCGAAGGAGCACACACATTGAATGGTAAAGAAGTGAAGCGAAATTCTTTAGCCAAGGGGAGCGGATCAAGCAGAAGTGAAATATAAAAATAAAAGAAATGTTTTAGCTAAGGGGAGCGGATCATCTGAAGTAAACAAGCGGGAATAAAATGTAAAATAAAAAAATGTGATGTCCAAGGCAACTAAACCCCTAACTATGATATAGAAGATCGAATTAGGATACATAAGGCAATATGAACAATCACAGAGTGTCAGCATCGACCAATGCGAACTCCTGATAAAGTGTGGGGGTTTGATTGCGAAACCCTTTTCCACTTGACGACTCGATGACAAAAGTAGGCACAACTCTTAAGCATCGTGGTGCGTCACGAGTTAAGGATGACACGAACAAAATGTATGGGGGTTGATTACTAACCCTTTTCGCTCGCCTCCTTTTGAGAAATTCAATAAGGGATGGGGGAATAGATGTGATCACAAATATAAACACATGTGCGGAATACCTACTTCAAATGTAGGATTTTAAACAAACATAGATAACATATAGAAAGCGGTGCCTACTATAGGACTTTAAACAGCAACTTAGAGCGCACGCTCTTTATTTCCTACTTCTCATGATATCTAGAAAAACGGTAAAGAAATGCGATAAAGTGAGGAAAAATATAAAAGTAGTAGCGGCAACTACCAAAAGTAAGCGGATCGTTGGAAGCGGACGAAAGCAATGGAGAAGCAAGGAGTATGCGTCAAGCAAGCTTCACCAAGAAACAAATAAAGTCATAAACGATATCCAACTAAGATAAAGACAAACACATGTTGCGAATGCAACGCGTAATCAAAAGTTCCTGCACAAAGTATCACAAAATATGACATGCATTCGGACAACATATAATATGATATGAATTTCTCAAGACGATGAGATATAAGGCATGTCGCATCAGAAGCGAGCATAAGCCATATGCTTCAATCACATAACAACTTGTTATGTTACACGCTCGAAAGCACCAAAACGTACATTGCACAATGAACAATCGCGTCAAAAATATTGAGGCAAAATGGTGTAAAGGTATATACAAAAAAACTAAAAGAAAAAAGTATTTTTTATTAGTTTTTTTATGTGAGAAAAATTCTATCAAAAAATAAAGAATTAATTCTTAAAATCAACTAAAGAGATCTAACAAATTTTATTGATTTTATAATTTTTTCATAGGAAAAATTAACAAAGAAAATGTCCTAAATCTAACAAAGAATTAGTAAGTTCAAAGGGGTTCTAAGCTGGATAGAGGTTATGGTGCAGAAATCAGGGCGCTAGGCCCATTAAGAAGAGTCCAATGGCGTTTTTGTCCAAGCAATCAGGCTCCAAAAAAATCAGATCTAAGGGGCCAAGAAGGGATGCAATTCGCAGGCCCGTTACTCCAATCACCACCAGTTTCAATTGAATATTTCTTATTTGATTCAGTTTTTTTTTTTGTTTTATATTTAATTACAAAAGAACAAATAAAATGAAAATTGATAGCAGATGTAATGCAGCGATTTAGATTGTTTTCTATGGTTGAAAATCTGTGCCTATTCATCTTCCACGATACAAACCTCTTCTTCTCACTCTCAACCAAAAAACGCACCACGAAACACCGTCCATCACCGATGACTCTTAACGAAAGAAGAGCGATAAAGAAAGGAATATTGCTTACCTACCGGAGACCGATTCGGCGCGTCTTCTATAACAATGATTAAAAGAAGATCAGCGAATCAGATAGGCGCTCTTGGTTTTAATCTTCTCCTTCCGCGTGCGTTCTTCTTCTGCAATTTCTGCAATTTCGGATCTCCCTGTACTCTGTGCTTCAGTTGCGTTGTTGTTGCTCTTGCAGATGGAGAGTGAATCGTTAATGATGATGATGCAGAATTCTTGACGAAGATGATGATTGAAGGTTGGATCATTGGAGTTGCAGAGAGAAAGCCGAGCGAGTTTAAAGATTGAAGAAGATTGCAGAATTGATGCGAAGAAGATGATGAAGGTGCTGAATTCAGAGAGAGTACAGAGAAGCTTTCTTCTCTGGTTTTAGTGATTCTTTTCCGATTGTTGAGGAATGATTGTGGAAAAAGAGAGGGAGCAGAGAAAAGTCTTGGTGATTCTCCAGAGACTTTTTTTTTTTGAAGAATCCATCTCAATCAAGGTATGAATCGGTTGTATATTTCTGTTAGAGTTTGTTAGGATTTTGGAATTCGATTAGGATGAGCTGGAAAAGGCGCGTGAGATTCACCTTCTGATTTAATTGTGTTTCTAATTTTCTGAGTTTCAAACTCACGGTTCCTCCCTTTCTATTTTTTTTTCCTTTCTGATTTTGAAATGTGCATGGCACAATATTTTTGAGTGCTTCAGTCCAGTAATGGTTGGAATATGTTGAAGTTAGATTGGTTTTGATTCAGTTTATATTTTCTGTAATCGATGCTTGTATTGAGACATTCGCTGAATTTTTCAAGCGGAGTAAGTATGCTATGTGAACGACATCTTCTCAGATAAAGACATTAGAGAATGCCTTAGGCAGCCTTTGATACCAAGACTCCAATTAAGAGACCTGATATATTTGTCATGCTCAACAAAGACCGAATCATTTCTGGTGCGCTAACATACATCAATCCCAATGGCCAAAGGTTACTTGTATCGAACATGTATACTGATGCGAGAACCACATATTTGTATCCCCAAATTGCTTAAGTAGCTCAGGATGTGATTAATACTAGAACCTGACGGAACAGGGCTTCCATTAATTGCGAGAATTTGTGGGCCGACATTTAGATTTAAGTTTTTCTTCTCTGAAAATGATGGAATACCAACTGTTTTGAATTGATGTGCATTTTTTTATTCATGATGTTAACGTTGTCTACTTCTTTCAATTGTGCTTAGTTTAAAATTTGGCGTGGTTTGGATCTGTTACATATGCAGGGCTGCAATATACTTGTATGCCGATCTGATTTGGTGTTTTTCCACCTTCTTCCAAATGCTTTTGAATTGGTTTCGCGTCATGAGCTTGAACTGGATTGGTACCGCTTTCTGTATCAATGCAGGGCTGCCATGGTTTTCCATATTGTAGCAATTATCTCAGTCATGTTATGTATGTGTTAATGTCAATGATCAAGGGTATATATGGGAGCGTGATTCAAGGTAATTGAACTCATGGAGGCAGTATGGAGAATTATCTTTGAGACAAGAAGCTTGAATTGTGGACAGGAGGATGGTAAATCATGGAGGTCTTAGCATGAAGAGGACATGAATGTCTTCGGATGCTTTGGTTCATATCCATGGAACTGTTTGGCATTGTTTGGGTTAGTTTTTGTAGTTTATATTCAGACAGGTTTTGTGTTAATCATAGAACAAACAAATTGTATTGATTTTGGATATTGATTTATATGGACATAATTGGTTTCAAGGCAAAGGTATTGAACAAAAGTTTATGGTCCTTGGTGTGAAGTGTATTCACGAAGATAGAAATGAGTTTTTAGGCCCTTTGATTGTGAAAATGTTAATATAGACATTATTTTGTGAACTTGAATGTGTGATGAATGATAATTGAAGTTTGGGAACCTTGATACCTTAAATTTTCCTTTGCATTTTGTTAGCTGAATGAATTTTTAATGAACTCGAATTAACCTCGTATCTTGGAATCACTTGTACCAATATTCACCTCAATGAAACCTTAGCTCGTTCAATAAGCCACGATACTTGCATTTCAAGAAGTCCACATGATTCTCTAATATTGCATTCCTGAATTAACATCTTCACAAATCAATGATGCCATAAGGAATGCTTAAACCAACACCTTGACTTAGCCGTAATGAATTCTGGACACATTTGAATAAATAACGCAATCTCAATCCCCATTAACTTGTCATTCAAGCAACCAATTATAAGCAATTGGGGGAAAACACTTATGTCATAATCAGAGTGACTCCACAAATCATAATCATAGTGACTTTAACAAGCAATAAAATATCAGTGCCTTGAATCCTTAAAGATGAAGGTACGACTTGAATTGTAGAAAAAGTATGATCACCAAGATTGTTCTTTGACATGAAACGCTTGAGGTGATGGAAAGAAACCAAATCCTGGCTCCTTAATTAGTCCTTTGATGAAACCTTGAGAATTTGCTTAAAAGCTTAAAGATAATGAAGATGGCTTAACATGTTGAAGAATGTAAAATCCTTAGTTCAACCATATTTGATAAAGCAACAAATCAAATTCATCTTGAACGAAGTACAAAAGCATCAAAGCAATAGAAACCCTAATTTCCCAAGACCCTTGATCCAATGTCAAGTTTCGATTAATGATGCATGATGTGTTAAATGACCTAATGGAGTGATGCAGATGAATGCAAAGCCTAAGCCCGATGATTTTTTTAAAGGGTAGGACAAATTTGGGGTATGACAACTGCCCATATTTAATCGTCTTAAACCTGAAAGTAAGATTGGTGCGTGCCTTTCAGACGTTCGAGGTAGAAGATGATTAAATATCAAGACCTGAAATTTATCCTGAAGAGACAGTGTGAATGGTATTATTTTTTTGTGTTACTCTCTAGGGAAAGAAAATTTATGTTTTTCCTAGTGAGAAGGGTTTATGGGTGATAATTGCTCATAATGTTGTAACAGTGCCAATACGAAGTTTCCAAAAGGAACGCTTGTTATGCAAAATAGAAATTAATAAGATGGGTATGAAAAGACGACAGATAAGATCTATGGACGACCTATGATCCTACGATCCTACAACGAGACCTACGGGCGATCTGCTAGGGAAGACCTATGGGGATCTATAAGAGGAGAGCTAGATCTACAGACGACCTACAATCCTAAAGTGAGACCTATGGGTGATCTGCTAAATTACTAGGCCTACGAGCGACCTATGATGAAATCTAGGTCTACAAGCGACCTAAAATCTAAAGGCAAGACCTACGAGCGGTCTGCCAGAAAACTAGGCCTACGGGCGACCTACGAGGAAATCTAGATCTACAGGCGATCAAAAATCCTAATGTAAGACCTACGGGAGATCTACCAAGAACTAGGTCTACGGGCGACCTAAGAGGAAATCTAGATCTACGGGCGATCTAAAATCCTAAGGTAAGACCTTTGGGCGATCTACCAAGAGGCCTACGGGCGACCTACGAGGAAATCTAGATCTACGGGCGATCTAAAATCCTAAGGTAAACCCTACAGGGGATCTGCCAAAAACTAGGCCTACGGACGTCCTCAGGGTTCTAAGATGAGACATATGGGTGATCTGTCAGAGAACTAGGCCTACCGGCGACCTTAGAGTTCTAAATGAAACATCATCTATTGGAGAACTAGGCCTACGGGCGACCTCAACATTCTAAGATGAGAACATTAGTTACGACATGACGAGTGAAGGTACAAGGGACAACTGACTATGCTAATTTTATTGGGATCTGGAGGGAAAATAGACACGGGTGAGTATTTGGAAAAGCTGACATGGACGAGTGTTTGGAAAACTGACACGGACGAGTGTTTAGAAAACTGACACGGACGAGTGTTAGAAGGTGAAATGACAAGTGTTTAGAAGTTGACACGATGAGTGTTTGGAAACCGACACGACGAGTGTTTGAGAAATTACTTCATCGGGGATCCGCGATAGATTAACACATATGTATGTTCGAAACAATGCTGAAGAGTATCAGAAGAGGACACAGACAAGTATCAAAGGAGATAAAGACAAGTATTAAAGAAAGGATTAACACAGACGAGTATTTGAATCAATATAGACGAGTATCAAAAGAAGATACAAACGAGTATCAAGGAAAGGATAACACAGACGAGTGTTTGAATCAATACAGACGAGTATCAAAAGAAAATACATACGAGTATCAAAGAAATGACTTCACGCACGAGTGTTTGAATCAATACGGAATAGTATCGAAAAAGATATGAATGAGTATCAAAGAATTGTTTAACATAGACGAATGTTTGAGTTAATACAGACGAGTATCGAAAGAAGATAAAGACGTGTATCAAGGAAAGGATAACACAAACGAGTGTTTGAGTCAATATGGACGAGTATCAAAAGAAGATACAAATGAGTATCAAGGAAAGGATAACACAGACGAGTGTTTGAATCAATACGGACGAGTATCAAAAGAAGATATGGATGAGTATCAAGGAAAGGATAACTCAGACGAGTGTTTGAATCAATACGGACGAGTATCAAAAGAAGATACAAATGAGTATTATGGAAATGATTACACGGATAAGTGTTTGGAAGCACAAGGTATTGTCACCATTAGCTGGGTATCGTGACATAATGAAGGACATCAACTGGGGATTTTGGAGTGATATTCTTCTGTAGGGATGTATTGATGTCTTTAAATGATTCAAGTCTTTAGTGTAAGGTACCCGATCTGGCTTATGCTTCGTATGCATGTTTGAATTTCTTTGGCTGCCAAGTTCCATTCTGATGGATCACCTACGTGCTTTTGAAGATGAAATGTTATGTAGTGATAACTATATGAAACACAAATAAATAGACTTCATGGGGATAAGCGAAGGCTCGTTTGAAACTCTTGCTCATCACTGGGGATGTCAATACATATTGGCGCTGGAAACTTGCAGTACCAAGGATCACTGGGGATACTGATAAGAATTTTCACTAGGGAGCTCATAATACTGAAGATTATTGATGACTCCGCTGAATATTGAATTGCTAACGAAGCGAGTTTTTCAGTACGCCACTGAATTCTGAATCGTATTGTTGGGGAAGAGATAATCTGGCCCGACATCCCTACATTCTAAACTGCTTGGTTGATGTTAGGACTGAATACGCCGAGGAACGAATACCGAACACCATGTGGATCTCTTTGAATACATTCCCCAATTTACGCCACATTGGGGAATTACCTCTTAAATCACTCGGGGATAAAAAAATGGACATGGACCTGCGAATGCCCTGGTTTAGCTCTGCGAATGCCTGGGTTTAGCTCTCGGGAGATGTGCACATGCGCGTGCCAAGTCAAATGGGGACTCTGAACTTTCTGAACTCACTTGGGGAATTAAGTTTGAAACTGTCTGCAACAGATGAAGGAAGCTTCGCGCGCTGGCTAGGTCAGGGTGACCGTTATCAGTTGCTACCTGCAAATAAAAACAACGCTAGGAATGCATATGGCACTCCCTTGTGGTTGCATATCAACATAAAGTCAAGTTTTATTTTAGGTTGAAAATTTTTATTCCCCATTTTTCTAATGCAATGTTTAACAACGAACAAAATACATTTCGCATACGAAAAACATTTTATGGTAATAAAAGACAGCTTTTTGATGAAAACAAACTTTATTTATTGACAATTGTCCTATGAACATACATTTGTACAAGGATTCAACTCCTATATGAGGTAGTTGAGAAAAAGAAACAAAAAATACAGTAGGTAAAATTCCAATGAGAGATGCTCGAATTTCCATTAAAACCGTATTTCTACAGTTCCAATATCCTTAGTAGTCTTAATGTCTCGCCTCTGAAGAGTAGCAGTTGGACCAATTAGTTCACTGCCAAGGTGCTATAGATGTGCATGTGTTATTCATGAAGAGTATCCAGACCACAACCTCTCTCTTATGATCCTTAACTTTTGTTTGGACCGCCCCTTCGAGTTTTCAATCCAATGGGATACCCATTTTTTCCTAAGTCGCCCTTTCGGGTTTTCGACTTTGCGGGTTATTATCTTTTTTTTCTCTTCATTTTATCCCTAATTTTTTCCTGGACTTTATTTTTATGTCCACTGGGATGCCCATTTTTTCCTAAGTCTCCCTGGCAGGTTCGACTTAGCATGTCTCTTTATGCGTAGTATTTTTTGACTGAGTCTGAATTGACTGGAAGTGGAACATCTTCCCCATCCATGTCTATCAGGATTAGAGCACCTTCTAAAAAGACTTTCGTCATGATATACAGTCCCTCGTAGTTGGGAGTCAAATTTCCCCTTATATCGTAATGGCTTTGCACGATAACCTTTCTCAAGACCAGATAACCAAGATACAACTTCCGAGGACGAATCTTCTTGTCGAATGCTCTCTTCATCCTCTGTTGGCATAACTGGCCATGACAAATTCCTTCTAGGCATTTTTCGTCAATTAGATT